CTGAGCCAGTTGAGATGTCAGTGGTGTTGGCTATTGTTTCTGCTGTTGTCAGTCCTCTTCAGTTGGGGCACAAGCAAGATTAATTTTTTCCTCGCAAATTGATGTGGATGGTCTGCTGCTGCCAGCTTCATTTTCAGCATCTACTCATCCCTTCTTAAAATGAGTTATCCATTTGTAAACTGCTTATTTCTTTGGGACACTGTCCCCATAAGCTTTTCATAAAGTATCTGTGATTTCACCATTCTTCTACCTGAGCTTCACCATATGATGAATTTGTTTGCTCTTTTTGTTTGATGTTTGTTCTTGCTTCAATTTTAGCAGAATTCATGTTGCTCTGATAGGGGTTCTTTTCAAACTGATGTCTTACTGTTAGTGCCCCAAACTAGATCCTGTTCAGAGATGTTGTAACAAGTTAGTATAAGTTTATTTTGGTGCAGAAAAATTTTGCAGTCCATGCATAGTTTTTTCATAATACCCATTTTTCATGAACTTTCTGTTAGTGCCCCAAACTAGATCCTGTTCAGAGATGTTGTAACAAGTTAGTATAAGTTTATTTTGGTGCAGAAAAATTTTGCAGTCCATGCATAGTTTTTTCATAATACCCATTTTTCATGAACTTTTTGAAGACCCCATGTATTAGATTTCTTTCTGTTCCTTGTAGTATATCCATGCCTTAGAAATTCCATAGGAAGGGAAGATTCTGTCTGTTCCTGTAGCTCATGTCTGAAACAGGTATAACTGCATAATGAGACGTTACTGCCTGGTGAGAGGAGTGGAAAACAGATCTTTTGAAGAAACAGCAAAATGAGAACTTGCAGTTGTGCTAAGGGATCAAAGAACATTTTTGAGGGAGCAAGGGAGAGCTTCTTTTTGAGCTGTGTTAATAACAAAGTAAAGTGATTCTTATAGAAGAAAAGATTACAACTTCTAACATATTTGGATTGATGGATTTGTGAAGTCTTTAAGATATATAGATTATTTTATTTTTTAAAATTTTTTGGTGGCTAGCTGGTACAGGGATCTGAACCTTCGACCTTAGTGTTATAACACTGTGCTCTAACCAACTGAGCTAATTGGCCAGCCCTTAGATTATTTTATCTAACCTTTTTTCTCCTAAATAAGCTCCTGTAATATTTGTGGGGGACAATGCCTAGTTGTTCCTTTTTTAAAAATAGAAGTATTTTGTGTTGACCTTAATCTAAAAACCGTTCTCTTACTATTGTCATAACCAAAGATTTTGTGGTACATTATGTACTTGAGCAATATGAATTTCAGATAGCAGATGCATAGGAAAACACCACTGTGTTATAAACCAAATAGTGGACCTCAGTTTATTGCCACATCGGCAATAAAATACCATTTATAGTTTCCTCCAGGGAAACTTGTACCCAGTCTTTTGGAGTTGTTTACAAAACCAAACACCAAAATATCTACGCTTTTTGTTGTTGTTGTTAGTTTAATCCATGGCAGTGAAACCAGAGTCTCTCATGATTTCAGTATCTGACATTATTTTTTGATACTTTGTAGTTTTTAGAAAATTCCCAAGTTTTTCTTCATGCAAGTAGTTTCTTAATTTGTTTGTCTAGAGAAGACTGTGGAAGCTGTTGATGTCTTGAGTGGCATAAACTTTTTAGAATCAGGTCAGTGCAGAGAACAGTCTGCAAAATCTGTGGGTTATTTACGTACTGGATTATAGGATTATTAACTCCGATGTATTTGGATGCATTTGTAAAAAATAATCACCTGATCAGAAAGGTTTTGAAATAGCGAGAGTATAAGTTTTTTTAAGGTCTGCTTCTTGTCAAATCACAGTAGAATCAGTTCTAAGCAAATTGTTTGGATATTTTATTGGTTCAGTTCCTATGCATAACAACAAATTTTCAGTTTGTCAGATTTTTTTTTTTTTTTGTATCTTGGAAACGGGCCTTATGGGCCATGCATAATTTGAATTCTCTGCCTTCAGACATATTAGAAATTATAAAGCTAAGATCTGTGGTTTCGATACAACTATTTCTGTACAGTTAGTTAGGGATGGTTTTGAAAACCCTAGTGTGACTGGCTTAAAGCATAAAGGAAATTTGTTTTTGTTATGTAACAAGACATCCAGCACTTCAGTGACAGCATTGGGGGCCCCATTTTTTCCCATCTTTCTGTTCTGCATGCTCAACATGTTGGCTTTGTCTTTAGGCTAATATCTTTTGGGGTGACAAGGTGATTACAGTAGTAACACATCTAGACAGAGCAATATCCAGAGAAGGAGGAGGGATACCTCTCTCATTTCTCTTTAAAAGCAAGATCTTTTCCCAGAGAACCCCTGGCTAACTTCCCCTCATATCTTATTGGGCAGAAGAGGGTCACATGCCCTTTCCTAAATCAGCCAGTCATAAGAATAGGGTTACTGTTTAAGATTCTTCCTGAGCTAGAATGAGGTTTCACGTTCCTTTGAGGTTTGGCTACCTGAACAAGACTGGGACTGTTATCAAGGCAGTAGCAGAGAAAGACATTATACAGGCAGCTAGCAGCAGCATCTATAGCCCTCTCAATCAGTGGTTTTCACAGTAGCCTATGTGGACACCAGATTTCAAGAGCAACCTCTATGGTTTATAAAAAGAGTCAGAGCTGTTGTTAACTTCCAGTACTTCCAAGGCTGGGCACTACATGAGCCAAGCCCAAGCCGCTTTACCTTCATCTGCAAATCCCATAGGGTTAGCAGTGGGCATGCCTTCATTTTATAGGCGAGGAAACTTGGAGAAGTTAAGTGACTTACTTAAAACTCACACCTTGTAAGTAGGGCTTTGCAGAGGTTAAGGGGGTTCTGCAGACTTGCACTTTTTCAGGTTCTAGGTTTATTAATAAAGTAATACCAAAACAGAGTTATAGAAATGTGGTATATTTTATCTGTTTACTTGTAAGAAAATATTTCAAACCCAAAAACAGTATGATCACTTTATGTAGACGTCGTGTGGAAACAAAATATCAAAATCTAGATGTGACTGGAGATTGGATTTCTGCCCCTCAGTCCTGTGGAAGCTGCAGAAGTTGCTAAAGATCTCTCAAGTCCTTGATCTTTCAAATCTTCCCAACTCTTCTGGGGTACCTGGCACTGTTGACCTCTCTCTTTTCCCAGCCACCCAGTGTCCTAGGTTAGAAAGTTTAGCACCCTCCTGGTATTCATCATCAGAGGCAATTCCAGGGGGAAGTAGAACCAGAGATAGGCCTCTTTGTCCCTGACTGTGGCCAGAGCAGGAGCCGACTGACCATATTGACTAGAGTCCACTGCCATGATGGGTACCTCCAGAGACCCTGACTGGCTCTCCCCTGGAGAAAAGGCCCTCCATAATTGCTTCTCCACTTTCCACCCTAAGTGTTGACTCTCAGATATTTCTTTTATTTTCATGATATTGTGCTTCTACTCACTGTGCTCTGCTTAGAATTATTTAATTCATTCCAACAAGTCTTTTATTGAGCACCTAATGTGTGCCAGAAACTGTCTTAGGCCCTGGATGGAGTTAAGAAAGAATGGTTTCGTTGTGATGATAGACAAGTAGATGACAGTACAGTTCTATATTGCTGCCACAGACTTGGCACAGGGTACCTTAGGAACCGTGGAAGTGTGCACAAAACTCACGTTTGAAGAGAATTGAGTTGGGGGAAACTCCCTGGGGCAGGGAATTGACTTGTCCTGAAGGAGGAATAGAAAGTGGATAACTAGGCAAAAAAGTGTGTGTGCATTAGAATAGTGCAGTTTGTGTTGGGGAGTGGAAGTAGAGAATAGTTATTTTGGTGATAGCTGTGAAAAAGGACATAGTTGCCTGGGAAGCTTTGGGTTAAGAAGATTTTGCAGTTTTGCAGTGGTGTTCGTGTTCCTTTGATTGTGAGGTCCAGAAATACACACACACCACACAATGGTTTATATCTTTGGTCTTAATCTTTGAGATATAGTCTTGCCTACTACAGTTTTTTTTTTTTTTTTTTTTTTTTTTTTTTTGTCTTTTGCCTATTTTCCGTGTCCGGCAACGGATCGCAACCCTCAGCGTTGCCCCCGTACCGGACCGGGGACCGGCAACGGGATTGCAAGCCTCGGCGTTGCTCCCACGCCTCGCTCAGCCAGTGAGCGGGAGCCGGTCTGCACGTGGGATCCGAACCCTCGGACGGGAGCGCCGCCGCGCTTCCCAAGCGGCGCACTATCCAGTGCGCCACCGGGCCGGCCCCTTGCCTACTACAGTTTTAACTTAAAAAATGTATTCAGTATTAAGGAACTTGTCAACTACTTTAACTTTCTTGGGGGAAAATTGACATGATAAGGAAGGTGTTTGAGTACAAAGAGCTTTTCCTTATCCCAAGGGTTGTTATAAAGTCAGACAAAAAGGGAAGCTTTGTGGTGTTAGACATGGTCATACATTGACAGCCATAGATTTAAAGTAGAAAAAAATCTGAAACCTGAATTCCTTTGGGAAAAGCCAAACCTTTTTTAATGATTCTATAACTCATGGCTTTTTCTGCCTGGTCCTTGGCACTTTCACCTGAGAAGTTGGGAATCTACTGTGACCTGATTTCTTAAGCAAAAACCCTTCCTTTGAATCACAGAGAGACCCCTACTAGGACTGGATATCATGAGAAGTCCAAACAGAACAAATGCCTGTTGCCTTGTTTTTTCCTGATCTTTGGATTTGAAGTAAACTGGGATAGTTGCCTTCCTGGTGTCTGCAACACATTGTAGCTCTAAAATGAAACCCTTTAGAGAACTTAGAAGGGATCTAAGAACTAGAAAAGGAAGAAAATGTGGGCTTCTATGTACAAACAGATGGAGGAGACCAAAGTTGCATCATTCAACAAAAATTTACCAACTGCCTCATGTGTCAGGCAGTGCTGTATGTGCTGGGGATACACGTATCAGGGAACAAAACAGAGTCCCTGCTCTCATTCATGGTTATAAATTGACAGGGAAATTGTGACTTGCTAGATGTTTTGATTCCCTCTTCCTCTCTTCTTTTCTGTAGGACAGAATAATAAGCTGAACAGACTCTGACCATTGGCTTTCAGCTCTCCAGGACCTTCTATCTAGCTCTCCTTTTGTGGCCCATGTGCTGCATCCTCTGCCCTCAGTGTGCAGCTGGCCCCCAACGCAATGTGTGTTTGTCGAACCATGGAAGTGGGGCAGTATGGCAAGAACGCAAGTCAGGCTGGAGACCGAGGAGTCCTCCTGGAGCCCTTCATCCACCAGGTGGGCGGTCACAGCAGCATGATGCGCTACGACGACCACACTGTGTGCAAGCCCCTCATCTCCCGGGAACAGCGCTTCTACGAGTCCCTCCCTCCCGAAATGAAGGAGTTCACCCCTGAGTACAAAGGTCAGTCGCTGGCCAGTTTAGTGAGAAAGGCAGACTTGGGCTTATAGACCTGTGGCTCAGTTTCCTTGTTTTATTTGCTATCTGATGTAATTATAGGTCATTGTTGTCTCAGAGCAGCCAAGTTAATTTGTTGGGAAAAATTAGAGGCTAAAAGTATCGGCAAGGTCTTTAGATCTTAAATATTGAATTTGTTGATGGGTAAACCTGAGAAAAACTTACAGCCTTAAGTCCCATTGGTGGAGAAGAACATGCTGTTGTCAGGATTTCCCCAGTTTGCTCTGATGGTTTAGGAGAGAAGGGGGAAACACTTCTCTGGCTCCATAGGAGGATGAATTGATACTTGCCAAGATAAGGCGGTTGGACGGCTGGCAAGAGGTTCTGTGGAGCCTTTGTCTGTATGTGCTGAGTGAATGAATTGATGGCAAGAAATTCAAAGAATTTCTGGGGTCTGGAAGTCCTAACATTTGAAGGAAAAATAATTTGCTTTTTAAAATATAAGTTAGCTTTATAGAAAATAACCCCATGAATGTGATACTACACAGAGTACCTATCAACAAATTTAATAGTTAAGATCTAGGGCCGGCCCGGTGGCGCACTGCTACAGTGTGCCGCTTGGGAGTGCGGCGGTGCTCCCGCCAAGGGTTCGGATCCCACATACAGACCAGTTCCCGCTCACTGGCTGAGCGAGGTGTGGGCGCAACACCGAGGGTTGCGATCCCGTTGCCGGTCCCGGTCCGGTATTGGCGCGACACCGAGGGTTGCGATCCGTTGCCGGACACTAAAAAAGACAAAAAAAAAAAAAAGGAATAGTTAAGATCTAAAAATAACTTTATTTTTAAATTCAATACTTTATTTTAAAATCTGATCTTTGTCACTGTGTTAATACATTTTTATGATTCTCCATTGTATGTGTTATATTTCTTGTGTTCTGCTTTTTAACTTTTCTAAAGCTGTGTGATTTCAGTCATGTTGACACCGTTCTTTACATAGGGGAGTTTTGATTTAGAAAAACCAATCCATATCAGAATTGACTTTTGCTTCCTTAGCTCTTTTTTTTTTTTGTGGTAAAATACGTAACATAAAATTTATCATTTTTAAGTGTGTAAGTTAGTGATATTAAATACATTCACATGTGGTAAAATATACGTAACATAAAATTTATCATTTTTAAGTGTGTAAGTTAGTGATATTAAATACATTCACAGTGTTGCATGGCTATCACCACTGTTTCTAGAACACAGAAAATCTGTACCCATTAAACTATAACTCCCCATTTTCCCTTCACCTGAGCCCCTCATAACCTCTAATCTACTTTCTGTCTCTACAGACTTGCCTATTATAGCTATTTCATATAAGTGGAATCAAACAGTTTTTGTCCTTCTGTGTCTGCCTTATTTCACTTGGCTTGTTTTATAGGTTCATCCGTGTTATAGCATGTGTCAGAACTTCATTCTTTTTTATGGCTGAATAACATTCCATTGTAAGTATATATACCACATTTTGTTTATTCATCTGTTGATGGACACTGAGTTGTTTCCACATTTTTGCTGTTTTGGATAATGCTGCTGTGAACATTTGCTTACAAGTATCTGTTTGAGTCCTTGTTTTCAGTTCTTTTGGATATATGCCTAGGAGTGGAATTGCTGGATCATAGGGTAATTCTGTGTTTACGTTTTTGAGGAACTTCCAAACTTTTTTCCACAGTGGCTGCTCTGTTTTACATTTTCACCAGCATTGTACGAAGGTTTCTGTTTCTCCACATCCTAGCCAACACTTGTTATGTTCTTTTCTTTTTATATCCATCCTAGTGGGTGTGTGTGATGTCTGATTGTGGTTTCGATTTGCATTTCCCTAATGACTAATGATGTTAAGCACCTTTTTGTGTGCTTATTGGCCATTTGTATATCTTCTTGGAGAAATATCTATTCAAGTCTTTTGATCATATTTGAATTTGGATTGTTTCTTAACCGCTAATTGGCAAAAGGAGGTGAACTAGTTTTTAGAACACCCCAGGGTTTTTTTTGTTTTGTTTTGTTTTTAACCATAGGGCCTTTACTTTTACTTTATTCTTGGAATGTTCTTTTCAATGCTCTTTGTCCACAGCTGCTCCTTATCCTTCAATCCTTCACGTCTGCCCAGACGTTTCTTCCCTGATCATCCTATATTAAGTGTTCTGCTCTGGAAACTTTATTATTTTCAGTTATAGAAACTTACTTAGTTTCTTTAAAGCACTCACCATAGTCTATGATAGTTTCGCTTATATGTTTATTTACTGTTTGCTTCTTTTTTTTAATGCAATTTTATTTATTATTTTTGGCAGCTGGCCAGTACAGGGATCCCAACCCTTGACCTTCACATTAGATCATAACACCGTGTTCTAACCAACTGATCTAACCAGCCAGCCCTTAATGCAATATTTATTTATTTGAAAAAATTTTAATTTATTATTAGCATATTCATTCTTACAAACCATGATATTTCTTTATTTTATTTATTTATTTTTTTTTGTGACCGGTAAGGGGATCGTAACCCTTGGCTTGGTGTCGCCCGCACCGTGCCCAGCCAGTGAGGGCACCGGCCATCCGTATATAGGATCCGAACCCGCGGCGGGAACACCGCTGCGCTCCCAGCGCCGCACTCTCCCGAGTGAGCCACGGGGTCGGCCCCCCAAATCATGATATTTCTTTATGTCCTTTGCCCACCCTATCACTTTGCAAACCCCCCCCCCCCCAATCTCTAGTATCCTTAGGTTTGTTCTCTCCTTCTGAAAGTTCAATGTATTGCTGTGGTCTTTTCTTTTTTTTTTCTTTCCTTCATTCCTTCCTTCCCTCCTTTCCTCCCTCCCTTCCTTCCTAGCAGCCAGTTATGAGTGAGAACATGCAATATTTCTGTTTCTTTGTCTGGCTTATTTCACTTAACATAATTTTCTCCAGACTCATCCATGTTGCTGCAAATGTCAGAATTTTGTTCCTTTTTGTGGTTGAATAGTATTCCATTGTGTATATATAGCACAATTTCTTTATCTAGTCATGTGTCGATGGACACTTAGGTTGGTTCCATATTTTGGCTATTGTAAATAGAGCTGCATGAACATGGGAACGCAGGTATCCCTTTGACATGATGATTTCCATTCCTTTGGATATAATCCCAGTAGTGGGATTGCTGGATCACATGGTAGCTCTATCTGTAGTTGTTTGAGAAACCTCCATACTGTTTTCCATAATGGCTGTGCTAATTTACAGTCCCACCAATAGTGTAGAAGAGTTCCCCTTTCCCTGCATCCTCGCCAGCATTTGTTATTCTTGGTCTTCTTAATAGTGGCCAGTCTAACTGGGGTGAGATGATATTCAACGTGGTTTTGATTTGCATTTCTCTGATGACTAGTGATGCTGAGCATTTTTTCATGTACCTGTTGTCCATTCCTATGTCTTCCTTTGAAAAATGTCTATTCTACTTTGTTTCTTACATTAGCAGCCACTGTGAAAAACAGTAACGCATTTCCTCAAAAAGGTAAACAGAATTACCATATGGTCTAGCAATTCCACTCCTAGGTATATACCCAAAAGAATTGAAAACCGGGGGCCGGCCCCGTGGCTCACTCGGGAGAGTGCGGTGCTGACAACACCAAGGCCGCGGGTTCGGATCCTATATAGGGATGGCCAGTTTGCTCACTGGGTGAGTGTGGTGCTGACAACACCAAGTCAAGGGTTAAGATCCCCTTACCGGTCATCTTTTAAAAAAAAAGAATTGAAAACCGGAGTTCAAACAAATACTTGTAAAAACATGTTCACAGCAGCATTATTCACAATAGCCAAAAGGTGGACAATAGATGAATAAACAAAATGTGGTGTATATTGGCAGTAGAATGTTATTCAGCCACAAAAAGAAGGAAGTTCTGATATATGTTATGACCTGGATGAACCTTGAAAACGTTATGCTAAGTGAAGTAAGCCAGACACAAAAGGACAAAAATTGTATGATTCTACATATATAAAATATCTACAATAGGCAAAACTATAGAGACAGGAAGTAGATTCAGTTACTGGAGGCTAGGGGGAGGGGATAATGGGGAGTTACTGCTTAATGGATGCAGGATTTTTGTTTGAGGTCATGAAAAAATTCTGAAAATAGGTAATCATAATGATTATACAATATTGTGAATGTGCTTAATGCCTACTGAATTGTACATTTAAAAATGGTTAAAATGGGGAATACTTATTCTATTTTATGGAACAATGTGTTGCCCGTTAGAATTGCAATAAAGCCAATTGAGGTCTTTAACTAAATTTGTTATAATTTTGTTCTTTGACATATGTAAGTAAATTGAAACCCAATTCAATGTAAACAGTAAAAGGAAACTTACACGTTTAACCAATCAGAAACTACCAATTAGCCTGTAACTAGGGACTTTCCACTTTGGCCAATCAAATATATTTTCTTTGTCTTGGTTCTGAAAACATCTTATAAATTTCCTCTTTCCTTCACCTCTCACCCCCAGTGGAGCACTGAACCACTTGCAGGCTGGTGATGCCCAATTCGTGAATTGCTGAATGCTCAAATAAACTCGTTAAAAATTTAATATGCCTGAGTTTATCATTTAACAGAATTATGATGGTAGAAGAAAAATAGAAAAGAACAGATATAAAAGAAAAGAAAAGGAGAGATAAACACCAGGGTCCAGGGTTCAGATCCCCATACCAGCCAGCTGCCAAAACAAAACAAAACAAAACACACACACACACAAACACACAAACAAATAAAACAGTTAAAATGGCAAATTTATGTGTTACATACATACATACATATATATATGTACACACACACACACACACACACACACATGAGGGTACTTCAAAAAGTTCATGGAAAGATTTGTAATACCTTTTAATTGTATTTTTCAAGAACTTTTAGAAGTACGCTTGAATTGTATAAAACACCACAATTTAGGGCTGGCCCATGGCTCACTTGGGAGAGTGTGGTGCTGATAACACCAAGGCCGTGGGTTTGGATCCCTGTGTAGGGATGGCCGGTTGGCTCACTTGGGAGAGCATGGTGCTGACAACACCAAGTCAAAAGGTTAAGATCCCCTTACCAGTCATCTTTAAAAAAAAAAAACAAAAAAACTCCACCACAATTTAAAAAGTAATTAAAAAGTGTAACTTAAAATAATAACAAAACCTCCACCCAAATGTAACCTGTATCTACTTAAATCAGTCTCACAAATGCCAGGAAAATTAGGGTTTTTTTCAGATGAATTAAAAGACTATTGATTCGGATCCCTGTACCAGCTAGCCACAAAACAAACAAACAAATACTGATTTTCATATTTCTACCTCCATTCTAATTAGGTGTGTGTGACAAGGTAAAAAAATGTCAGAACCAAAAGAGTTTTTTTTCAAATAGTAGATTGGATGACTCATTTTATTACCAAATCTCACTTATTCTTGGTAAAGGCATCTTTCTGCTCTTCCTGTAGGCATTTCTCCCCTGATCAGGTTTGATGCTCTTTGTCTGCCAGTGGTATGTTGGGGTGTCGAGTGCTATGTGCTTGCAGAACGTATTAAAGGTTTCCAGTATAGCATTAGATGGCCCTGCAAGACAAAAAGAAAAGAGCTCATTTTAAAAAGAGAGAATGATACATTTAACTATATAAAATTAAAAACTTATGTTTATCAAAATATACCTTTTAAAAAAATGAAGGGTAAAGATATTTACAACATAGATAATTGACAAAGGATTAGTTTACAAGAAAAAAATATATAAACTTGGGGCCGGCCCGGTGGCGCACTGCTATAGTGCGCCGCTTGGGAAGTGCGGTGGCGCTCCCGCCGAGGGTTCGGATCCCACATACAGACCGGCCACTCACTGGCTGAGCAAGGGGCAGGAGCAACGCTGAGGGTTGCGATCCCGTGGCCGGTCCCGGTCCGGTGCAGGCGCGACACTGAGGGTTGCAATCCGTTGCCGGTCACGAAAAAAGACAAAAAGGAAAAAACAAAAAAACAAACAAACAAAAAAATATATATATAAACTTGTGCAGTCAATATGAAAAAGACAAATAATTTAATAGAAAAATGGGCAAGAATAAAGAAAATCGGTGAACACCAATGGCTGATTCTTTGAGAAGAGCAATAGCATTGATAAATCTCTAGCCACACTGATCAGGAAAAAAAGACGACACAGATTTCCAGTATTAGGAATGACAGAGGTATTGTCATTACAGATTCTACTGATATTTAAAAGATAAAAGAATATTATGAAGAATTTTATACTAGTAATTATTCTGCAACTTAGATGAAAATTCTTGAAAGACAAACTGCCAAAGGTCACTCCAGAAGTTGATGATCTGAATAGCCCTACCTTTTAAACAAATTGAAATTGGAGTTTAAAACATCCCGACAAAGATGACTCCAGGCCCAGATGCCTTCACTGGTGAATTCTACTAAATATTTAAGAAAGAAATACTACCAATATTACATAAGCTCTTACAAAATATTGAAGAGGGAATACTTCCCAACTCATTCTGTAAGCTCATTACAAGAAAATAAAATATCCTTTATGAACCTACAGTAACAAATTTGAACAAGATTTTAGCAGATTGAATTTAACAAGTTGTTAAAAGGATCATATACATCATGACCAAGTGGGGTTTATCTGAGTTAATGCAGGTTTGATTTAACCTAAAAAATCAATCAATGTAATTTGCAATATTAACAAACTCTAAAAAAAAACCCAACAAAAATAACCGCCCTATGATTATCTCAATACATGCATAAAAAAGCATTTGACAATATTCAACATTTATTTTTTTTAATTTTTAATTTTATTTATTTTTATTTTATTTTATTTTATTTTTTTGTCCTTTTTGAGCCCGGCCGCACCGCGCTCAGCCAGTGAGCGCTGTGAGCGCACCAGTCATCCCTATATAGGATCTGAACCTGCGGTGTGAGCGCTACTGCGCTCCCAGCGCTGCACCCTCCCGAGTGCGCCACAGGCTCGGCCCAACATTTATTTTTGATAAAACAACAGCAGCAAAAACTCTTAGCAAACTAGGAATAGAAGGCAATTTTCTCAGCTTGATAGAGGGCATCTATGAAAAATCTACAGCTAGCATCATACCTACTGATGAAACGATTGCTTCCCTTTAAGTCCAAGGAATGAGACAAGGTTGTCCATGCTCTCCACTTCTTTTTTTTTTTTTTTTTAAAGATGACCGGTAAGGGGATCCCAACCCTTGATTTGGTGTTGTCAGCACCATGCTCTCCCAAGTGAGCTAACTGGCCATCCCTATATGGGACCCGAACCCGTGGCCTTGGTATTATCAGCACCACACTCTCTCAAGTGAGCCACAGGCCGGCCCATGCTCTCCACTTCTAGTCAACATTTTCCTGGAGGTTTTGGCCAGTGCAATAGGTAAGAAAATGAAATAAAAAACATTGGTAATGAAGAAGTAAAAGTGTATTTTCACACAATGTAGAATTCTGTCTTCAGCCAAACTATCAGTCAATCAAAGCCCTCAGAAAATTGACCTCCTAAACACCCTTTCTTAGGAAGAATCTTGAAGATTTACTCCAGCCAAACAAAGAGTAAATCAACATAGGAGAAAAGTAGATGTTCATGGAAAGAATGGCTTTTACTCTGGGTCAGCTGCAGCAGGGCAGGGCCCAGCATGGGAGCTGTGCGGCAGGCCTGGAAGACACTGTAGATCAGAGCATGAGGGGGAGCCCAGGAGGCAAGGTTATAGACCAGAGAACATTTAAACTTGAACAAAATCAAGGCTCCGGTAAGCACAAAGAGGAATATGCAAAGGAGGTAACCCACAGGAGAGGCAGCCTTCTGTGTAAGAAAGCCAGGATACATATGCGAAGCCCTGTAAAGTGTGGCATGAGTTTAAGCAATGTAAGGGGGCTGTAAGAGGGAAGAAGGAATCCATTTCACCTTGATGTTGGAAGGATTCTTCTTCTAAAAGGCCTCAGGGATTGGGGCAGTCACTTGGTGAAGGAAATGGGCCCAGGAGAAGAATATTCTTGGTCTGTCATATTGACATATTCATAAATGCTTCTCACTAATTTTCAGATTATAGGGCCAATTGTGCACACCAAGAGTATAAAAGTAGAAATGTAGTTGACAGAAGGGGGTTATGGAAGCACTGCTGGACCTTTTCTTTTTTTAAGACCTTCTTTTTGAGTTAGGTTTCTGGGTATTGTTTGTATTTTAACTCCTTTGATAATGACCCAGAAGAAATTCTGAGCAACATGTTTGATAGAAATAGACACAACAAATTGTTTTCCATGGGTACAGCATGGAAAACAAAAACGTGTTTCACCTTAGAGATGTCAGGGGTGGAAGTTCTGTGTGGTGAGATTAGGAGAGTGTGATACTCAGGTTGGGCAGAACATATATTTTTGGGACTATCTTGGAGAGAGAAATATTGATGTCTGTCTAGCTAATACTGTCAAGCCATAGGAAACCGAATGCAAAGGAGGACACAGGAAATAGCAGCATCATAAAGCAGTTAAATAAGTAGAAGGTTATATTATGTCAGGTGTGGATATCACCTAGAGAACACAGTTCTTTTGAGTGGTACAGCAATCAATAATTAAAACTAAGAGGGCTAGAGAGTGGGAAATAAATATAGATTTACCCAAGATCAAAGGTAAGCAGCAGACTTAGAGTGCTGGCTGTTGTTCCTACATCAATTTATAGTTGGTTCAGGGCAGGTGATGTCTGTGCTGTGGGAAAGTGTGTGCCAATGGTCTGTGCTGCATGGACTCTGCCTGTGTTGACATTTGTTGACTGGCTTCCTTCTTCTCAACAGGTGTGGTATCTGTCTGTTTTGAGGGGGACAGCGATGGTTACATCAACTTGGTGGCCTACCCTTATGTGGAAAGTGAGACCGTGGAACAGGATGACACACCAGAACGGGAGCAACCTCGGCGCAAACACTCCCGCCGGAGTCTGCACCGGTCAGGCAGTGGCAGTGACCACAAGGAGGAGAAAGCCAGCCTCTCTCATGAGACTTCTGAGAGGTAAGAAGGTGGCCAGCAAAGCTACAGGTGCATGTCTCAACCCACGGGCACAGTCACTCAGGACATCTCTAGAATTCTTTTTTTTTTTTCTTTTTTTTGCAGCTGTCTGGTACAGGGATCAAACCCTGGACCGTGGTGTTATCACCACCATGCTCTAACCAACTGAGCTAACCAGCCAGCCTAGAGTTCTGACATATCATGGGAAGCAGGGATCAAGATTGGGGAAGATGGCTGGTGTTCTCTAGGCTACCTACACAGGTGTGGCTGCCCCTGTGTGTTACTCCACCTCAGTGATGTCTCCTTCTGGGTTTGGCTGTAGTTGGTAGAGAGAGTGAAGATCTCTCAGTCACTTGGGAGCAGGGTGCTGATGACAATAGGTTCTCTGGCTTTCTGTTAAGTATCACGCCCACAAGACAGAAAGTCAAAGTACATTGGTCCACAGTGAGGCTTCAAATGCTTTCTGACCTGCAGGATGTCCAAGCCCAAAGGCTGTGAGAATCCATCCAGACTAGTGTTCACTAACGGTTTTGTGTCAGACCTCTCTGACAATCTGATATCAGTCATTAGCCCTTTCCCTGCACCTAAAATTTAGTTTATTGCATTGGAAATAGATTTTTCTTGTAGATTAGGAAAATAGTCTTTACAAAGTATTATGTTTATTTATATTTCATGTAAAAATTAATGTGAATTCTCACTAGGATAGGTATAATCAAAAGGATGGACAGTGTAAGTTTTGGCAAGAATATGGAGAAATTGGGAACCCTCCCACATTGTTGCTGGGAATGTAAAATGATGCAGCTACTTCGGAAACAATTTTGCATTTCTCCAAAGAGTTAAACCCAGTAATTCCATTCTTATGTATATTCCCGGGAGAATTGAATATATATATTCACAAAAAACTTGTACACAAATGTTCTTAGCATTATTCCTAATAACCAAAAAGTAGAAATAATGTAAGAGTTCATCAGCTGGTGAGTGGATAAGCAAAACTTGATATAGCCATACAACGGAATATTATTCAGCCATAAAAAAGGAATGGAGTACTAATACATGCTACAAAACAAGAATAAATCTTGAAAGCATGTTAAATGAGAGAAACCAGGCACAAAAGACCACATACAGTATGATTCCATTTATGTAAAATGTTCAAAACAGGCAAATTGATAGAGAAAACTTGCATGTGGTTGCTTTCTGTTAGTGGTTAGGCGATAGAGGTAGTGGGAAATAGTGACTGCTAATGGTGGCCACTGTTTGCTTTTGGGGTGATGAAAATGTTCTGAAAATTAGGTAGTGGTGATGTTTTACAACCTTGTGAATATAGTAAAAAACCACCGAATTGTAAAAATAATAAATTAATGTGAACTAAAAATGATGTGATCTTCTAAAACAAAGTGACATCAAAATTATATGATTAAATTACTTCGTATTTAATTTCTTTTTTTTTTTTTTGTCTTTTTTCGTGACCGGCAACGGATCGCAACCCTCAGTGTCGCGCCCGTACCGGACCAGGCCTGGCCACGGGATCGCAACCCTCGGCGTTGCTCCCGCGCCTCGCTCAGCCAGTGAGCGGGAACCGGTCTGTATGTGGGATCCGAACCCTCGGGCGGGAGCGCCGCCACGCTTCCCAAGCGGCGCACTATCCAGTGCGCCACCGGGCCGGCCCAGGCCCCTTTAATTTCTTTCAAAAATAAGTTTCAGTGAGTAAGATGCTCTGTGACTTGACTTAGACGTTGAAGTTGGGGCTGGCCCGGTGGCACACTGGATAAGTGCGCAGCTGGGGAAGCGCGGCGGTGCTCCCCCCCGAGGGTTTGGATCCCACATACAGACCGGTTCCCGCTCACTGGCTGAGCGAGGCGCCGGAGCAGCCCCGAGGGTTGCAATCCCGTTGCCGGTCCCCGTTCCAGTACGGGGGCAACACTGAGGGTTGCGATCCGTTGCCGGACACGGAAAAAGACAAAAAAAAAAAAAAAAGAAGTTGAAGTTGGAGGCCGGCCCGTGGCTCACTTGGGAGAGTGTGGTACTGATAACACCAAGGCCACAGGTCGGATCCCTATATAGGGATGGCCAGTTGGCTCACTTGGGAGAGTGTGGTGCTGACAACACCAAGTCCAGGGTTAAGATCCCCTTACCGGTCATCTTTTAAAAAAAAAAGTTGAAATTGGGAATTTTCTTAGGTGTGGCAGTACATAGTTCATCCCTGACATCAGATTGGTTTACCACCATATGCTGCACTCCCTAGTTTCTTAATTTTTGTAAAGTCCCAGGTTATTCCAGCTCTCCTTACTCACTTTGATGGATTGAGGACATGCTGATATCGAGCTGCACAGAACCTCATGAGACTCTGGCTGAGAGTGTGATGTGTCATTTCCCGTGTTCTCAGTCATTAGATCCTCCCTGGTCAGGTCTGTATCTCTGATGCAGAAAGGCTTCACATCTACTTCTTAGTAACCAGGGTATCCATACATTAAACATTCTTGTGGACAAATGGAGTCCAACTTGCAGAAGCACTTTTTTTTTTGGCAGCTGGCACGGGATCTGAACCTAAGACCTTGGTGTTATAAGGCTGAGCTCTAACCAACTGAGCTAACCGGCTAGCCCCAGAAGCACTTTTTGTAGTGTTTTCCTCTTACTACCTAAGTGGCTTCCTCTTGACTGAAGACTAGGGACCTAACTTGGTCATTCAAATGACAAGGAATGTTCCCCAAGTCCCCAAGTCTGCAGCTGGCAATTGATGATTCTCTCAGTAGCTGTTTAGAGTGGGCTTTCCTTTGTCCTCCAAAGGTACAGAAGTTGCTTCATGAGTCATTTGGTGAAAATCCTGTGACCATAGAATAACATCAAGGTCAGGCCAGCCTGTGGCTCACTCGGGAGAGTGTGGTGCTGATAACACCAAGGCCGCGGGTTCAGATCCTATATAGGATGGCCGGTTAGCTCACTTGTGTGAGCATGGTTGCTGACAACACCAAGTCAAGGGTTAAGATCCCCTTAACGGTCATCTTTAAAAAAAAAAAAGAATAACATCAAGGTCTGCCTGTGTCCAGGTACAAGGCCTTATTCTGAAGGTGAAGCAGTGATCAGACTTTTGTCTGGCTTTTTAGCAGAGATTATAAGTCACTCCAGGAGTGGAGCTTGTTTCTTCACTAGGCTAAGGGTGATGCCAAGTACCACGGAGGCTCCATCCATACACAGAGAACTTGTTTGGGTTTACTTGGCAAATAAGTCAACCTTGCTTTTCCTAAAGGGGATCACAGAAAAGGCATTTGTGAATGGCCTCAGTAGTACGCTTACCAGAAGAAAATGAGGGTTTTGTCAAGCTGAGAAGCATTGGTGGGCTCTGCTACTTCCAGTCAAAGGGAAATGGGAAATGAAAAAAGAAAAAAAAGGGAAATGGGGTTTCTGTCAGTTCCTCTTAGCATGTCAAACAGTTTGCTCAGCCGCCCTCTAGGGAGGGTCAGCATTTCCAGCAGACACTAGCCTTGGTTAGCTTGGATCTGTATGACTCATTCTGCAGTTAAAGGAAAGAAGGGAGTGACATTTGAAATTGCTGCAGTGCTCTGCCTCCGCTCTGTGCCGCGGCTTGCTCTGCAATTTCCAGGGCACATGGCTTTACCAGTGGTGTGGTTTTCTTGGCTTGTCAGTATGATAAATAGTGTTACCAGTTACTTTAAGCAAAAGGCTTTTCTGCTGGGACATAATGAAATTGTGGCAAAGTTCCAATATTTTCAGTTGAAGCATCTCTCAAAAAAGCCTTTTTGTGGTTTGACTTATTTTAGAAATAAAATTCCCTTACTCAGATGGCTTCATGCTTTCCACAGGCACAAACCCTATCCAGAGAAACACAGGTATCTTCAGGGTCTGCTCAAGGTAGACTGTCCTGCTTTTATTCTTTGATGTTTTCCTCCTTTTTCTAGGCCTGATGCAGACCGACAGACATTCATAAGCATGATGCCAGCACATACTTTCTTTAAATCTTACTAAAAGAAGCTATTTTAGATGTTGTGGATAAAGATAGGAAAGTTGCTTATGTCCTTGATAGTGCCATCCCATGCTCTACTCTGTGTTTGAATAGTGTGAAACCACATCTTCACTGCATGGTTTTAAAAACTATTTTCTTATTGTCATAAAATATACTTAACAAAATTACCATTTCAACCATTTTTAAATATACAATTCAGTGTCATTATGTACATTTACATTGTGCAACTAACTCCCTGTTTCTCCTTCCCCTAGACCCTGGAAACCACTATTCTACTTTCTGTCTCTGTGAATTTGCAGTTACTTCACATGAGTAGAATCATACAATGTTTGTCTGGCTTATTTCATTTAGCACAATGTTTTCTTTTCTTTTCTTTCTTTTCTTTCTTTTTTTTTTTTTGCAGCTGGTGATTCGGGGATCTGAACTGTGACCGTGGTGTTACAAGGTTGTGCTCTAACCAATTGAGCTAACCAGCCAGCCTCAACTTAGCACAGTATTTTCAAGTTCATCCATGTTATGGCATATATCAGAATTTCATTCCTTTTTATAGCTAGATAATATTCCATTGTATGTGTATACCACATTTTGTTTATCCATTCATCTGTTGTTGGACACTTGGATTGTTTCCACCTTTTATTTATTAGTAATGCTGCTGTGAACATTGGCGTGAAGTATCCTTTTGAATCCAGACTTTCAGTTCTTTTAGGTATGTACCTAGGAATTCCTATTTTCAGTTCTTTTAGGTATATACCTAGGAATGGAATTGCTGCATCATATAATTCTATGTTTAACTTTTTGATGAAGCACCAAATTGATTTTCACAGTGGCTGCACCATTTAACATTCTCACCAGCAATGTATGAAGGTTCTAGTTTCTTCACATCCTGTACAACACTTGTTCCAGTTTTTTCTTTTGATAATAGCCATCCTAATGGATGTGAAGTGGTATCTTCATCATATAATTTGACACAAAGAATTATTTTTCAGACAGCTTTCAGAGATACACAAAGAACACTACTAATACTCACTTTTATTGGCTCAAGTATCTGAGGCTTCTGTGCCACCCATCAGCAGGGTCTGGGGGTGGCAGATTAGGCCTGATCCAGGCCTCTCCTTTACCCAGTGGTGAGACCCCAGAGGATGACTTGCCTGAGTCCCTTAGCGATGTGTACATTTTCCTTCTTAGCTCCCAGGAGGCAAAGAGTCCGAAGGTGGAGCTACACAGCCACTCAGACGTCCCTTTCCAGATGCTAGATGGCAACAGCGGTCTGAGTTCTGAGAAGATCAGCCACAACCCCTGGAGCCTGCGCTGTCACAAGCAGCAGCTGAGCCGCATGCGCTCTGAGTCCAAGGACCGAAAGCTCTACAGTATCCTTACTGCTTCTCCTTCACAGTGTCTACTGGGACCATGGGTCCCATGTCAAGGCACCTTTCAGACCCATGGCCAAGATTCTTCTGTCTAGGAGCACCTCTTTGTTCTTATCTCCCTTTTTCAAGGACTCCTCTTTCTCTTCCTTCTTTTACTTTCATCATGCTGTTTTTTCTGCTTTTTGCGCATGGTAAGACAGAAGCTTAAAACTTGGCAGTCTAGAACAGTGCTGTCCAATAGAAGTTTCTGTAATGGTGGAAGTATTCTGATTTGTGCTTTTCAATATGGTAGCCACTGGCCGTACTGCATAGCTGCAGTTTGGCTACTATGACTGAGGCACTGAATTTTAAATTTTTTTTTTTTAAAGATGACCGGTAAGGGGAAAAAAAAAAAAAAAAAAAACTATTTCATGTTATACAGGTATGGTGTTTATCATTAGACTAAAAAACCCACCAAAATCAAACATATTATTTTAAAATTATCAATCTTTTGGGAGGGGAGAAATACACATCTGCACACATGCGTGCACATACAGATCTCTGATTCTAGACATGCACTGGTCAACATGGCAGCCATCAGCCACACGTGGTGATTTAATTTTAAATTTTAATTAATTAAAATTTAAATTTAAATCACCACGTGTGGCTGATGGCTGCCATGTTGACCAGTGCATGTCTAGAATCAGAGATCTGTATGTGCACGCATGTGTGCAGATGTGTATTTCTCCCCTCCCAAAAGATTGATAATTTTAAAATAATATGTTTGATTTTGGTGGGTTTTTTAGTCTAATGATAAACACCATACCTGTATAACATGAAATAGTTTTTTTTTTTTTTTTTTTTTTTTTTTTTTTTTTTTTTTT